TTGGATTGCTCTATATGACACGCGAGGCCTCTGCATCTCGGCAGCTGTATTTTTGCATTATTTTCTCTTGGTCTCATTTACATGGATGGGGCTTGAAGCATTCCATATGTATCTGGCCCTTGTCAAAGTGTTTAACACTTACATCCGAAAATACATCCTTAAATTCTGCATCATTGGTTGGGGTATGTATAATTTGCTTGCATATTGCTTTGGCTTTCTCTGCTTGTTCTCCAGCGTTTTGATTTTGAATCAGCTAGAGACAATGATGAAACAAGTCACACTTGGCAGGTTTCTAAAATAGCTTTATTCTCCTTACATGTTGCACTGCCCAAAGAGCAACCTTGTCAGGTCTCTTTCTAGAACACCTGTATATATCCCTTGGATTAGTTATGAGCATAAAACTCTTTAAGGTTAGGGCTATGAATCCTCTTTGTATCTCCAGCAACTAGAACTGGGGCTGGCACACAGAAGGTGCTCAATAAATTGAAAAAGTTAGCTTGATAATAATGAGGCCAAACTCTCAAACTCTCAGTCCCTGAGCTCCCAGCTAGCTTCAGTCTGTTCTGTGCCTCCCAGATATCACACACATGTATGATGGTATGCTCAGATGGGCAGAGTGAGAGAACACACAGATAAAACCTAACGTAACTTCATTGCCGTACTGGCACAGTATTTCAAATCATGACACCTTTGGTGGTGGGTTACAAAGTCTTAGACACCCCCAAAATCTTGAAGGTTTCTTTATTCAACTCCCCACCAAACATAGGAGCCTCCTCAACTTGACTTACCCTTGATTAAAGATAACATAACCTCTGTTTGAACACTTCTATTATTGAGGGAGCGCATCACCTTTGTTACAAAACAAAATTCAACTGAGTAAATTTTAAAGATCTTATTGGCTTTCTTCAATGATTCATGAATCAGGAAGCATCCAATCTAGCAGATTAATTGGAGCACCAAAGAGCTGTCCAAAATGAAAGGTTTTTATAGGCAGAAGGAAGCAGGAACAAGGAAGTTATATTAGACAAAAAAGCAGGTTGGTTACTGCAAGGTTACTTTCCTACAGGGGATAGTATGCGTCTATCAGGCAGATTACCTAAGATGATTCTTGATTGACAGGTATACGATTTCATTTCTGAGAGAGCCAAAACTATAATTAAGTCTTGGTTTGGTAACATAGAGTTTAGCATAAGTGACTTTATTTGGGGCTTGTCTTATTTTTAATACTTTACAGGGCAGCCAATAACAATTTTCTAAAGCTCTACAGTTCTGTTTTTCCATTAAGTTCACTTGGCTCTCTGTTGGCATTTACCCAGTGGTCTTGGTTTTACTCTCTCAGGCAAAATAATAATAAGCTGACATCTTTTCTGCCAAAAAGTCCTTTAGACAATTCACAAGTAATATATGATATTATATATAATGCCCCATTTTTCAGTGTATTTTCACACAAGTAATCCCATGAAAGACAAGTCAGTGAGGTTAGCAAAGCAGTTTTTTGCTACCTCCAGGTGAGGAAACCAGCTCAAAGTGACGATGTGATTTACCCCAATTCACTCAGCTGGAGAATAGCCGAGGCTGGCTTTCTGATTTCTTATGTGTAACCCTTCCACTGTATTACAGCCACCATCTCTCCTAAACACCCTCCTCTTCCTCAGGGTAAATAATCCTTACACAACAGGACTGCAGATCCTTTACCACCCTTGTCACCCCACCTGTCATTATATCTTTGTGAACAATAACAGAACACCACCTTTCCAAAAAGATAAGTTACTTCTTCTCAGAAAAATAAGTCACTGCTTCTGACACTGGGCACAAATTCTGTCTTCTTTGTAGAATCTTGAAAGGTTCGATTCCCTTGTCAAGGGCTAGCTCCACACCCCCAATATCTTATTTTTAGGAAAGTATCTTGCTTTGGAAGTCATCATATGTCAGTCAGAGGGTACAAATATAAGAGAATTAAATGAAATATTATGTTAGATTGTACCAGGCACCCCAACCTGTCTGTGAGAATGAATTGTTTTTTTATATACCAAGGCCTAGAGATTCGGTGTCAGGCTGGTCTCTGTGCACAAAGTATGAGGTGTCTGCCTAGGGTCAGGTGGAGGGTGATGGGGTAGAGGGGTGAGAACTCCTTCCCAGCCAAAAACCATTTTAACCTGGGGGGAGCCTTCTCATTATGCCTCCTCTTAGTGGAAGTGCCTGTGGGCCCTTGAGAGAGCTAGCATAGTAGCAGTCATCACCCCCAAATCAACCAGGTTAGGCTCCTCAATCCATCAATGGGTTCCAGATAATCAGTCGAGGACTTCTAAGTTCATAATGAAATATTTGCCAGGAGTTGTTGGTAATCCTAATAAGTCGACTATGACTCATATTTTGTTTATATTTTGGAATTTTTCAGTTTGCCTGCCACCTGACCCTTAAAATTACATTCCAGGCATGTACAAGTTAAGGGTAATACTAGCCACTATCATGGACAAACGGTGAAATCTCAGGAAAGATAATTTCTCACTCACGCTCAGTCCAGTTAGCAGGAGCAGAGGGGTCTCTGGCCTTGCAGTTATTCAGGATCTAAGCTGCTGCAGACTCTTCTCTGCCTCACGACAGGGCTTCTAAGGATGTCCTGAATTTGAGAGAAAAGAGTAGAGGGTCTCACAGGAGGTTTTTATGGGACAGGCCTAGAGGTGGAGCAGATTACTTCTGTCCATATCTCACTGGCCAAGACCTAGTCATGTGGTCACATACACCTAGCTGCAAGGGAGGGTGGGAGATGTCCAGCTATTTGCGAAGGAGGAAGAGAAACTGGGTTTGGTGAACAGCTCAGTACTCCCTGCTGTCAGAAGAAAATACACCGTGATCTCTATTCTTTCTTCTCACCACCTTCAGTTATTAGGACTATGTGTGACTGATGTTTCCCATCTTCCAGGGGTACCAGCCGTGGTTGTAACCATTGTCTTGACTATATCCCCAGATAACTATGGGCTTGGATCCTATGGGAAATTCCCTAGTGGCTCATCTGATGACTTGTGAGTACAAAGCCCCGGAGGGAATATTAAGTGAACTGGAAAATAGAATTCTCCAAGAAAGTAGAGAATCTAATCAGCATATCGACTCCAGCTTTCATCCTAATAAAAGCCAGTAGTAACATTTACAGAGCTTTCACAGTTATATACGTAATGGGATAAACTAGTTGGAAATGCTATGCTACTACTTAAGTATTAAAAAAAAAACAAATTAGGAGGAAGTATTTTGAAAATACATTTTTTTTCCTAATTCCAGTTGACATTCAATATTTTATGTTAGTTTCAGGTGTATATCATAGTGGTTAGACATTTAAATAATTTATGAAGCGATCCTCCCAATAAGTCTAAAAACCACCTGGCACCATATGTATTTATTACAATATTATTGACTATATTCCCTATGCTATACTTTACATCCTGTGACTATCTTGTAACTACCAATTTGTACTTCCTCCTTTCACCTTTTCCACCCAGCCCTCTTGGCCATAAAAAAGAATGAAAATACTTTTATAAGCCTCTGATAAAAATGAAATACCAGTTACATTATGTTAGTAAAGACTTGTGGAATAGAGTCACTAGGGTTTAAAGGGGGTAAAATCCTGAATGTTTTCAAAAAAAATAATTTGTAAATACTTTAAATCACCAAGTGTCTTAAAATAAACTTAGATTTTTTTCCCTAGAGGTATAAATGGTTGTGGAGAGCAGTGTTTTTTTTTCTTTTGTATTTATAGGAAATGTTTCAGTAAAATGATATAAATTCAATGTATCATTTTGAACCAGATTTCAGCATTGTAATTTGTTTTCCCCTGTTTTTTTTTTTTTTCCTCCAAATTTCAGTTGCTGGATCAATAGCAATGCTGTATTCTATATTACGGTTGTGGGATATTTCTGTGTGATATTTTTGCTGAATGTCAGCATGTTCATTGTGGTCCTGGTTCAGCTCTGTCGAATCAAAAAGAAGAAGCAACTGGGAGCCCAGCGAAAAACCAGTATTCAAGACCTCAGGAGTGTTGCCGGCCTTACATTTTTACTGGGAATTACTTGGGGCTTTGCCTTCTTTGCCTGGGGACCAGTTAACATCGTCTTCATGTATCTCTTTGCCATCTTTAACACCTTACAAGGTAAGTTCCACAGCACTAAGTCTGCACTGAATGATCTCAGTCAAACTTAAAAATATCACTTCTAAAAGTTAGAGTATCTGTAAAGTAGCTTATTTAGTAGCTTAAGATATATTCATTGCAAAACAGATTTATCTCAGAAAGGGTGCTTTGAGATCCTTGGAAGAAAGGCACTCACTAAATTCAAAAAGTAGTACTTTTTTCCTCCTTTTCCATCATCTCCTCTGAGGGAACATATAGAGAACCTGATGGGAATTCTTTCTGGGAGTCAATTACTCTTCCATCACTTGGTTCCTTACTTTTCTTTTTTTTTAAACTTTTTATTGAAATAGAACATCCATACAGAAAAGTGCACATGCCATAAATGTCCCTGTGAGGTCTCACCACTTCTACCTCCTGTTTGTTTGATTGGGAGACAATGATAAATATGAAGTCAATAGACAGACCCAAGTGGCAGCAGCCTGGCCTAGTGGCTAATCCTGAGAAGTTGCTCTGCTGGGATGTGCAGCAGGAAAGGGTCAGGCTTTGTGTGTCACCCTTACTTCAGAGCTTCCCATTTGTTAATGAAGTGCAGCTGTAGTCATTTTGAACCCTCTTAGCTGTATTCTTCAGAAAAGCAAATTACTAATTCTTTTAGACCAATGTTATAAAAGACTTGTCAGCTCTGGTTAATTTTCAGTGGAAATACAGTACTTTGGCATTAAAAACCGAGAAGCCTAATAAGTTTACACTGCAGTAACAATAATTCATGTCCCTCAGTTTCCTTTTATTCCAAATCCTCTGTTAGGATACCTTTAAATTGCATTCTCATCTGCTTGTTTTCATCATTTCCTGTTGCTTTTAGCTCCTGTAGCATCTTTCCTGTAGTTCTATCAGGCAATAAATCATTTTGTTCGTTTTCAAAGACATCCCAACCTGAGATTGAATTCAAATGCTTAACTTGGCTATCAGTTCTTATTTTATTTGGAGGGAGCCAGTTAATATGCTTTTTGGTTACACAGAATTGTTCATTTTAACATATAATGTACCAGTTCCTGAATCGGTATATCCAGGTGTTTCACTAAATAATATTAAATAGAGAAGTTTTATTTGGCATGCTAAAAGAGTAATTAAGAGGAAAAAACATGCCCAAATCACACTAATCATAAAAACTAAAGCAAGATACCTACCCACTGAACCTGCCTCTTTCTCTTCATTTCTCCAGAATGTCTTTTCATTAGAATATGAATGGATAGAAGGAATATATTGTTTCATTTATAAAAGGGAACCTAATTTACAGGGATTTAGGGTTGATTAATAGAGAGATGTATAGGCTCTGATTTGGGACTTGGGTGCCCCCATTTTGATCTCTCTTATACATGCTGTTTCTCCTCTAATGCAAACAAGAGTAGCCACACAGAGTGGCAAATGAACAAAGGGGTGCAGTATTCAAGATATCAGTCTTTAGGATGGGCACCTGAAAAGGCGAACCTGGTATTTTAAAACGAAGATTTTAAAGTAGATAGATTGGGGGTTGGGAAGAGGGAGAACTCCAAATGTGTCCCCTCCTTTAGCAAATATTTGTTGGAAAAATCCTTGAGGAGTCACAACCATGTGCCTGCTTGATAAGGACAGAGGGTAGAGCCTCAGGGTCTATTCAAGTCTAGTGTTGCTTCCCTGGCAGGCAGGTAAGGATGCATTGCATTGCCCCAGGTCTGGGAGGAAGAGTGGAAAGCCCAGGCCAGGGCTTGAGAGGAGGAGCAAGGGATGTGAGACAGTGCAGGAGATGGCATGTGACAGAACTTGGAAATTGATTATAAATATGGAGGGGCAGGGAGGTAGGAGCCTAGGACCAAGCTAGCATCCTGGGTGGATGGTTTGTATTTCCCAAAGATCGGGAAGGCCAAGAACAGAATGTGAGAGACAATTAATTTAATTTTGGAAATGTGGAGTTATCATTCCTTTTATAAGCATTTTTTATCTTACAAAGAGAGCACCCCCCGCCCCTCCCCCTGCCACCAGGGTGCCTTTCTATAGCAAACTTTCCCAGGACTTTGGACTTATTTTTTCAATTTGCAGAATTTTACTTTACCTATAGCTGCCAAATATTTTATCTTTTGTGCGAAGGAAGCTCATGACATTCAGGTCTTAGTTTGGAATTCATCATATCGTGGTTTTTTTTTTCCCTATAGGATTTTTCATATTCATCTTTTACTGCGTAGCAAAAGAGAATGTCAGAAAGCAATGGAGGCGGTATCTTTGTTGTGGAAAATTACGGCTGGCTGAAAATTCTGGTAAAGATTTACTTTACTTTTTCCCTTTCTCTTAACTTTTGAGGAAAAGGCTGATTCAAAGCAATTAATGCCAAAGGGCTATCAGATCCGGAACAATGAACGGAAACCGCTCAATAGAAAATATTGATTGTGAACATTAGGGGGAAAAAACCTAATGAATTAATTTAAAAAATAATTACTCATATCTGGAAACTTAGTGAGCAATTAACAATGGCTGGCTTCTTCCTGAATGAAGCAACAGTGACATTTTTAGAATTTATTTCCTTTTGAGCTAATGTTTCCCATTTACCCAAAGTAATTTTTTAATATTTACCTTCATGACTTTTTTAAAGTCTTGACTTAACCTTGTATACAAGCTTTAGCATACATTTGGCTATTCTGAAGTTATAGTATTTTCACATCTTGCTAGGTTGTAGAGCAAATAGCTCATTTTTCAGAAAAGAAGAAAATTAAGTACTGTTTGAAAACTAAATTCTTTTTGCATGTATACCACCCATGAATACAACCTTTGCACGACTACAACGATCTGGTTGCACAAGATCTGTATTCAGAAAATGGGAGTGCATGTAGTTCAGTCATTTGTATGGATTTAAGAACCATGACTCATCACAACACAGTTGATATGTGTTGTTAAGACAGTCCTTGGCTCTGTCCAAATTACTACCTAATTCAGAGGATATTTATAGACATAATCAAATTAGCTGGCCTTTAGTTCCAAAAGAATATAGGCTACTTTTAATCAGTCATTTAAAGGACAAATGTATATAGTCTTAACTGAAAATACTTTTTATCACATGAACTTGTGATATGTGTGACTTCTCTGTAAGATATGGGAGTGGGAGATCAGTTGCTAGAAGGAGTCATACTGTGATCTCTTTGAGCTTCAACATTCTGCCCTATTTTTCTGTAATGTTTATTTTGCTGTAGACTGGAGTAAAACTGCTACTAATGGTTTAAAGAAACAGACCATTAATCAAGGAGTGTCCAGTTCTTCAAATTCCCTACAGTCAAACAGTAACTCTACCCACTCGACCACGCTGCTAGTGAATAATGATTGCTCAGGACTCGTGAGTGGGAATGGTATGTACGTCTCAATACAGTATTTCTCAAGCTAGTGTTTTATTAAAGTGTTATTATTCTTCAATGGCATTTTTGCTGAGCAAAGTGAGTAATTACATATATGACTAGTGGGTCAAAGTGTAGTTCCCTTATAAAAGAGAATGTTTATTAATCCAAATGTATTCACTTTAGAGCAAATACCAGAACAACTGTTTTTTTTCTTTTTAAGATTTAGTTTTTCGTTATGGGAATTGATGACGACCTAAAAGCTTTAGCATTGCAAATCCTGATTTAAGTATTGCCCAAAGACTTCAGTGCTGTGCTATTTCTGTGCAAGTAGTACCTAAAATAGTTAATAAAATTATATCAATTTTTAGTACATCTATATTCATACACATCTTAACACTTTTGAACCTTATTTTTTGCTTGTCAAGTTTGCTCATTCTTTTCCACAGTGTGGCTACCTTATGACAATGCCTAAATTGCATAAATATATAAAATACTGTGACCTGTATTGGTGACAATATATGTCACCGATATATGAACAGATTATTGCTACTATACCTCCTTTACTCATTAATTCTGACATTTCTAGATAAAACTTCCATTATATTTTCTTTCATAAGAGTTTGCTGTTCATTGCTCATAAAAGTTTATCTATTTTTATCTTTTTTGGCTTAATATATCTTTTACATTTTTATAAAAGCTTAACTTCTGCTGGCATACTTTCTCCTTCACTAGAGAATTTGCTTTATTCATCATTTTAGGGTATTAGTTATTTTCATGACAAATTCAAATACATTTGTGAGAAGGTTCATACACCTACCCAATAGTTTTCCAACCTCCCAAAGATGGGAGGTCCTGCTGGTCTGTATAGACTTTTAAAATACCATAGGATGTCTTTAAATTGAGGTTTCTCAACCTCAGTACAACTGATATTTGGGGCTAGATAATTCCTTGTTGTGGGGAGCTGTCCTGTGCATTTTGGGATGTTTAGCAACATTCCTGATATCCACCCACAAGGTACCAGTAGCACCCACCCACTCACCCCCAGTCATGACAACCAAAAATGTCGTCAGACATTGAGAAATGTCCTCTGGGGGGTAAAATCTCTCCCTCCAGCCCTATCATTGAAAACCATTGCGTATGAGATAAGAAGGAGCTGCCACATGGCCATAGCTCTTTACTGTAGATACTGGGGGAGAGCTCTGGCCTCTATGCCAAATGGCTGTGTCAAGAATGACTCAATGTAGGTAAACAGAGTAGAGGCAGTGATTTATAAGTTAGTATGAGAACACAAGTTCAAAGTAGAGAAATCAGAGGTGTGAGGTGAGTCATCGAGAATCCTCAGAATCTCCAAAAAGATATTTGCACTGATGTTCATAGCAGCATTATTCACAGTGGCCAGAACATGGAAGCAACCGAAGTATCTTATGATAGATGATTGGCTAAAGAAGCTGTGGTACAATAAATAAAATAAAATAAAACTCAGCTATAAGAGACAACATGGATGGATGTTGAGATAATCATGCTAAGCAAAATAAGCCAGACTGAAAAAGTTGAAAATCACATGATATCACTTATATGTGGGATATAAACCTAAAAGCAACAAATGAGCAGGACAAACAGAGATTCATGGACATGGACTATAGACTAGTGGTTACCAGAGGACTAGCGATTACTAGTGGGGTGGGGGAGGTGGGGGAAGGTAACCGGGGTAAAGGGGGTCAAATATAGGGGGATAGTGGGAGGATGAAGTGGGTAAAGGGGATCAAATATATGGTAGCTGAAGGAAACTGGACTTTGGGTGGTAGACACATGATAGAATATACAGATGTCAAATGATAATGTACACCTGAAAATTATATAATTGTATTAACCAATTTACCCCACTAAACTTAATAAAATAAAAAAATAAAATAAAGGAAAAAAAGGAAAAAAAAAAGAATCCTCAGAATCACAACATATCAATAAAGTCTTCTGGCTTGGGTAGAAGTGTTTGGAGCTCTTAAAAGCCAGATTTTCCCATATGCTAGAAAGAGCTCAGAGATGAAGTCTCACTTGCCCAGCCTGTCAATATGTTGCCATCTTTTGGGGAGTCAGATTTGACAGAAGCAGCACAATTTGCAAAGCTATTTGACATGGCTGATTTGGCAGAGCTATTTTTGCTGCCTAACAGTGAGGGTGGGGGTGCATTTTAGGCCACACAAATGGCCACGTGTTTAATACCACATAAAATGCACATCAGATGGACATCCCTGACTCCTGAGTCCACACACCAGGATTTGGAATGGACAAGGGATGGGATAGGCAGTTTCAAAAAAGAAGCTGGAAATTTATTGCTTTATTATACCAGGTAACATTGTTCCTACACCAAAAATGTCCTCAAACCAAAATGCCTAAATCAGGACAGCTGCCTCAGGCACATGCCTTATTTGAGCTGTGTCAGAGATGGAGCTGTGTTAACCATATCCATCATGTAGTTTGTGTGAATATTACATATTTCAGTTATGAGCTGCCTTAGAGGCTTGTGTACCAGCAGCCATCTCACTTGTTCCTTGGGACCACAAGCTCACAATTTGGAAGAAACATCATGTGTTGACTTCATCACTTCCGAGACATGTAACCTTAAGCAAAGCACTTAATTTCTGAAACCTCAGTTTCATCGTCTGTGAAATGGGATAATAATTGCACCCATCTCATATGGTAATAGATGAGATAATACCTATAGAGTTCGCAGCACTGCTATTATTATTATGTCATGAACTAACAAACGGGCTTATTATTCAGCTTTTTCTACATTGTCTTCCAATGGTATAATGGTTAGAAGGATGATGCCAAGTACCTAGAAGGTCTCAGCTGCTATGCACAACCCCCTTCCCCATACACACAATTCAGAGTCTGCCTGGGATGGAGGCCCAAGTCCAAATCATAGTTTCTCTAGGATGCCCAGATGCTCTCTGGCCTGGACTTTGAGGTTGGAATTGGTGGTTTCTTCTTAGACATCAGTCCTATCTTGATTTAATCAGAGGGGCTGGTTTAGTCTATGAGAGAATTTTTTTTCTTGCCATGACCATTGTCACTCTAGGTTTCTCTGGTACAAAGTTTTATTTTATAAGACTCTTTGTGAACCAAGAACCCTAAGAGGACACATGGAGGTTTCTGTTAACCTGAACCTTTTGGGGGAGACCAGAATATTACATTAGGTTGGTTGTATTATACATACGCTGTTACTTCAAGTCCACGTATGTTGAACCAGAGTTAGGAATGGGCCTTTTAAAATCAAATCTATTGCTTTGCTTCATATTTTGACAATTTCATTTTTAAAAACTGCCATAGAGAACTGGTTTTGGAAACATTCTCCAATTTGTTTTGCTTACTTTGAGTGGCCTTAGGAAAATAATGAAAATAAAATATAACAACACATTATAAATATTTTTTAAAAAACATGTTCTATGTGTGTATACTTAAGAATAAAATGTTTATTTTTTAAATGCTTTCTGTGGAAACTTCATGACACCAATTTTATTTTTCTTTATATAGGGAATGCTTCTACAGAAAAGAATGGTGTTTCTTTCAGTGTTCAGAATGGAGATGTGTGCCTTCATGATTTCACTGGAAAACAGCACGTGTTTCATGAGAAAGAAGATTCCTGCAATGGTAAAAGTCGTATCGCTCTCAGAAGGACTTCAAAAAGGGGAAGCTTACACTTTATTGAGCAAATGTGATTCCTTTTTCTAAAATCAAAGCATGATGCTTGACAGTATGACGATGTCCAATTTTATCTTTTCCACAATGTGAGATGTATGAAAATCAACTAATTTTATACTCAGCAACCTCTGGAGGAACATAAGCTAATTGAGGGCAGTGGTTACTATTGGAAGAGGAAACCAAGATGTTTTACCATGGTTTTAAACAACATACTAAATAAGATTCATTTAAAGAAAATAAAAGTAGTTCATTTCCAGCCACATTTTAGAGGTTAAGTTATATTATCTTTGATAATATCATATAAAGCAACTGTTGACTTTCCAGCCTGTTGGTGAGTTTAGTTGCGCATGCCTTTGTTGTAAATAAGCTAAATTCTAGTGACCTACATGTCAAAAATCTTACTTCTACATTTTTTTTGTATTTATTTTCTACTGTGTAAATTTATTTCTTTGTAGAATCATGGTTGTGTTATTGTGTCTAATGTGATAATTCAGAAAACCCACAGGGTCGGGCCTGGTTAGTACTTAGATGGGAGACCTCCTAGGAAGACCATGTACTGTAGGTGTGTAAAAAAAAAACAGAAAAGAAAAGAAAAAGAAAACCTTTGCTAGTTCAGTGAGTTCTAAAGCTCCTTTTGGAGATTATATGGGATGTGAAATATAGAAACTTCACTCAAATCAAGAAATAATGATGCCAGCCAGACTGGAAAAATGCAAGCAGACAGTGCCACAATTAGCTCACACAGTGCCTTTGAGCAAGTTAGAAAAAGATGCCCCCACCAGACAGACACAGCCCCATGGGCGCATGGTTTGGCAAAGAGAGTGAGGGCCATATTTTAGCCCCACTCAATCTCTTGTACAGGGTGTGAACTGTATACAGCTGGATACATGGCATCCAATACCAACACCCATCTCCTGACCTCATCCCTAATCATCAAATTATGGAACCTGCACCAAGATGTTTAGCTTAATATCTTGGCCACAGAAAGGGATGGAACTATAATCTAGACTATATGTCAGGAAAATTGTGAATGTGGAGGAGATACATACACTGCCATTTCTCAAATCCCAAGAGCCTTTCAGAAAAGGGGAGTAGGGATTACTTTTTTAAAAAGATGTATATAAAGAAAAAATAATATTGCTGTGCTTTGAGAGGCAACTACATGGTACTTTGTTGATTGTTATGACTGGTACACTCTGGCCCAGCCAGAGCTGTAATTATTTTTAAAAGATCTCTAGTCTTAAAGAGTGTATAGTAACAAGGGGGAATAGCTATTGGGAATGGTGAACTATCCTGCAATGCTATTGTTTCCATATGCATCAAACCCTGATTGCTTCTATCTTGCTTCCCACGTACGGCTGCTTGAGCAGTACCTCAATATGTCCTTATTAGGAACATTTCAAAACCCTTTAGTTAGGTCTTTCACTAAGGTTCTCTTGCATATATTTCAAGTGAATGTTGTATCCCAGACTAACCATAGTAATAATGTAATACACTTCTGTGAATGCTGATTTGCCTTTGCAATATTTCTTCTCTGATTTATTTGTCTTGTATTTACGTGTTAAAATAGACAAAATGTTAAAATCGACAGAATGTTAAAATTGACAAAATAAATTTACAGTTAACTCCTTTAAGTTTGAAAACGTTCACAAAGA